GGTAGCTGCAGTAGCATAGCAGTGGTATGCAGTAGCAATAGCAGTGGTAGCTGCAGTAGTAATAGCAGTGGTAGCTGCAGTAGCAATAGCAGTGGTAGCTGCAGTAGCAATAGCAGTGGTAGCTGCAGTAGTAATAGCAGTGGTAGCTGCAGTAGTAATAGCAGTGGTAGCTGCAGTAGACATAGCAGTGGTAGCTGCAGTAGCAATAGCAGTGGTAGCTGCAGTAGCAATAGCAGTGGTAGCTGCAGTAGCATATAGCAGTGGTAGCTGCAGTAGCAATAGCAGTGGTAGCTGCAGTAGTAATAGCAGTGGTAGCTGCAGTAGTAATAGCAGTGGTAGCTGCAGTAGTAATAGCAGTGGTAGCTGCAGTAGCAATAGCAGTGGTAGCTGCAGTAGAATAGCAGTGGTAGCTGCAGTAGAATAGCAGTGGTAGCTGCAGTAGCAATAGCAGTGGTAGCTGCAGTAGCAATAGCAGTGGTAGCTGCAGTAGCAATAGCAGTGGTAGCTGCAGTAGCAATAGCAGTGGTAGCTGCAGTAGTAATAGCAGTGGTAGCTGCAGTAGCAATAGCAGTGGTAGCTGCAGTAGTAATAGCAGTGGTAGCTGCAGTAGCAATAGCAGTGGTAGCTGCAGTAGCAATAGCAGTGGTAGCTGCAGTAGCAATAGCAGTGGTAAGCTGCAGTAGCAATAGCAGTGGTAGCTGCAGTAGCAATAGCAGTGGTAGCTGCAGTAGTAATAGCAGTGGTAGCTGCAGTAGCAATAAGCAGTGGTAGCTGCAGTAGCAATAGCAGTGGTAGCTGCAGTAGCAATAGCAGTGGTAGCTGCAATAGCAATAGCAGTGGTAGCTGCAGTAGCAATAGCAGTGGTAGCTGCAGTAGCAATAGCAGTGGTAGCTGCAGTAGCAATAGCAGTGGTAGCTGCAGTAGTAATAGCAGTGGTAGCTGCAGTAGCAATAGCAGTGGTAACTGCAGTAGCAATAGCAGTGGTAGCTGCAGTAGCAATAGCAGTGGTAGCTGCAGTAGCAATAGCAGTGGTAGCTGCAGTAGCAATAGCAGTGGTAGCTGCAGTAGCAATAGCAGACGCAGTCTAATATAGCAGACAGCAGCCGAAGACGCTGTGTAACAAGGAACAACAGTAACAGTAGCACCAGAAAGAGATGTAGCAGCACTACTAAGAGCAACAGTATTAGTAGCAATAGCAGCAGCAACATGAAAAATAACAGAGCCAAACCTGCAACTACAGCGGAAGATGTAGCTTGAGTCCGGGGTAGTAGAGACAGGTATTAGCCGTGGATATATGTAGCAACAGTGTCGGAGACAAGCTGAATGAAGCAACAGGACAATAGAGGGCAGTAGCAACGGTAACAGGGTCAAGTAAAAGAGCAGCAACAGCAGCAGATTCAGGCAGAAAGTGCAATAACAGGTGGAAAGCAGCTAGTAGCTTAGAATGCATTGTTAAGAGAAGCTCTCCTGCGCCTGATGCCGGAGTGAGTTATAAGAGGAGCCGTTCACTGGTACTGCCACTATGGTGGAGGCGCTGGGAAACGCTGGTGTCGATGGACACAGGTGAAGGTGCCTACGAACACACGCGAAAGTACCTATGGAGAAAGGTAACAGTACCTAAAGACACATGTGTAGGTGGGACAACCAGTGTCTCTACGCTGGATCAGAACAACGTATATATATATATTATGCAAAACAACCACTCTGAAAGAATAGAGAAATTCCAAGCACTTTCGTGACTACTCACATTATCAAGGAACATAGTTCCTTGATAATGCGAGTAGTCACGAAAGCGCTTGGAATTTCTCTATTCTTTCAGAGTGGTTGTTTTGCATATTCTAAAATCACCTGTTTACTGTGATCTTATTGCATATATATATATATATAAATATATATAATATAATATATATATATTATATATATATATATATATATATTATTATATAATATATATATATATATATATATATATAATATATATATATATATATATATATATATATATATATATATATATATATATATTAATATATATATAACCATTCCACAAGGCGCTATATGACCCCTTAGAGTTTAGCATTTACCCGTGAGAATAATAACATAATTAATATTTATATTCTGATTAACCACTGGTTTACCAGTCGGACTCAGTGGTCTGAGATAGCCTCTATAAGTGGGTTGAAGTGACAACACCCACTGGTTAGTGGTAACTGTGACAACACCCACTGGTTAGTGGGAACTGTGACGACACCTACTGGTTATTGGGAACCGTGACAACACCCTCTGGTTAGTGGTAACTGTGACACCAGGTTGTGGGAATGTGACGCACCTACTGGTTATGGGAACCGTGACAACACCCTCTGGTTATGGGACTGTGACAAACTCACGATGGAGTGTAAGCAGGGCATAGCAGTAGGGCATAAAAGTTGTGGTCATAACAGCTGGGGTATAACATCTGAGGGCATAACAACTGGGGTCATAACAGCTGGGTCATAACAGCTCGGGTCGTAGCAGCTGGGGGTATAACAGCTAGGGTATAACAGCTCGGTCATAGAAGCTGGGGTCGTAACAGCTGGGGTATAACAGTTGGGGTATAACAGCTGGGGGTATAGCAGCTGGGGAAACAACAGCTGGGGCATAACAGCTAAGGGCATAACAGCTGGGGTCATAACAGCTAGGGTCGTTATAGCTGGGGGTATAACAGCTGGGTCATGAAAGCTGGGGTCGTAACAGCTGGGGGTATAACAGCTGGGGGTGTAACAGCTGCGGATATAACAGCTGGGGGCATAAAAACTGGGGGCATAACAGCATATTAGCTGGGGTCGTTACAACTTGGGTATAACAGCTGTGTCATAAAAGCTGGGGTCGTAACAGCTGGGGTATAGCAGCTGGGGTATAACAGCTGGGGGTATAATAGCTGGGGGTATAACAGCTGGGGGTATAACAGCTGGGGTGTAACAACTGGATGCATAACAGCTGGGAGCATAACAGCTGGGAGCATAACAGCTGGGAGCATAACAGCTGGGAGCATAACAGCTGGGAGCATAACAGCTGGGAGCATAACAGCTGGGAGCATGGAAATTTCCCCTCAAACACAGAGATAAGCAGATATCGTGTAGCCCAGTGGTTGGAGAAGTCGGCTCACTTCCAAACGGACCTGATTTTGATTCCCGGGCAACCGTAGACAACCTAAAATACATACAGGAAAGAAGGTGGCATCAACACTGGTGCTAGCGAAACAGCATCAGACAGCAGATAAGAGCATCAAACAGCAGTTGACAGCAAGAATTGGTAGGTGGCTATAGATGACATAGGCACTGTATATCACGAAGAGGCAAACCCACGTGACTTATTCAACGCAGGGTATGATGGAGGCTCGAGCCACCGTTCCCGATCTCTGACCCGATCACCAGATGGTAAGGGTCTCAGCCGTAGAAGGCAGCAGCAGCTGTTTCAGAGTTTAACCTTAGCTGGCAGCTTAGGAAGAGCCAAGCTGTTTATAAGCAATAATGAGGGCGGTGCCGAGGGCTAGTGCTGCCCCTTCATCACTCACGGGGCCGTTACCGCTGCCCCGGGCCGCCCCGGGCCACCCAGGGACCACCCGGACCACAACACCACCCTAATTTGACACCCGAGTGGTCCGCCCTGTTAGAATATCTCCATTAAGCACGTCACTTCACTCCCTGATTGAGCTATTCACCGGCCTCTTTGATATGCCGGTCTCTCCTCCCCATTGGCGAATTGATAATTCCCGGGCCATTCACCGGGTAGGGGCCCCTCCCTCCGCTAATTCGCTGACGAATGGGGCGGCTGGTTGGGCGGGGCCGGTTCGAGTCCCGCCCAATCAGGTGTGTCGTTCGCCGTGTGTGGCTGGCGGGCGGCGGGTGTAAACACAAGCGGGCGGTGGACTTCAAAGGCGGCCATTAGGCGTGTGAAGCCTGGGCTCTATCATTAACCAGTCGAGCAGTTGGCACATCTTCATCGGCCGCGCTGGACCAGAGTGATTACTCTCCGTCTGATGCCATCAGCATCAGTCTGACGGTGACCAGCGCGAAGACAGGAGGCGCCGCTCGCTCTGGGCGAACCTGTGTGGAGAGAACTTTTGTTGTGTGATAACTAGGAGACACTGGGCGGTTCTGATAGGCGCTAAGGAGTCCTAGGAGACGCTGAGTGGTCCTAGGAGGCGCTGAAAGGCATGGAGATACGGGTGGAGTGTGTGGCTAGGATGGAGGAGAGTGATTCGCCCGCCTCTCCCCACGAGGTGCGGCCTCCTAGCCCGTGTGACAGTGAGATCAGTGTGGGCTGTGAGGCCGAGGCTCGACACGCCCACGCCTCGCCCATGGACATGACCACCCACGCCGACACCTCGACGGAGGACGAGGAGACGGAGCCACAGTCGCCCTCCACCTCTCGTGGGGCACCCTCCCCTACCCTCTCCTCGGGTTCCTTACACACAGAGTCCTTCACCTACCTCTCAGATGATGAATACTTCAGACCACTCAAAAGACTAGCCATGTCAGGTACGTCGCCGCCGCCGCAGCCCTTATCACCGCAGGAGGAGGATCCTGACCCCAAGCCTCCCTCGCCTGAACCGCAGCCGCAAGAACCGCAAGAACCTGTGGGTATACTAGCGAGAGGTGGAGATATGGCAGCCGTTGAGCAGAAGCAAGCGGCGGGTCTAAGATCGTTCTCTATACTAGACATTCTATCCTATAAGCCGTCCCGGCGGAAGTCCTCGGTTCCTGTAAAGATCGTACGCCCCTGGGACACCCGGGAAGAAGGGGCCGCCGACCCCCCCGCGAAGTCGTCAGGCCATAGCGACAAGAAAAACTCGAGCAACGACAAAGGAAGTGCCCTCGACGCCCTCTTCAAGATGACCAATAAGACACTCGACAACCTCAATAAGGATGAGAAAACTGGTGAGTGACGTACCCGCATCACATTTATTTTATTTTATTTTTTTTTTTTGTTTTCCAGACAGTGATAATCATTGCTCTAATATGCTCAGTCGCGTCTTCACAATTGCCAAAGCTCTTTGCTTCCTCGTAGAAATCTGAATGGAATATGCATCAGGCTACTTTTCATCTAAACATCTGCATACTTCCCAGTGTCGTCGTGGAACCACATTAACCTACTTCTGTTATAGTGTGGCCAACGTCCTCTCCGCTCCTTCATAAACACTGCAGTTACAACACTTAGTAAAACTGAGTAGCTGTTTACTCGACCGAGCCAGACAAATATAAAATCTGAGTTTGTTTACATGCGGGTGCGTGACCATGGGATCAAGACGGAGCATCAACACGCTCTTCCACACGACAGTGCGGTATCTAATGACTTATTACAATTTATGTACAATTTATGTGAGGCGATAAAGCAATGTGGGTCTTGCAGCGCAAGGAAAGATAGAGGCTCGATCCTACGGCCGCTCATCGGAAGACAGATATAGTACCCTCCTGGAAATGCCTTCCTTCACAAGAGTGCCTTTATCATCCTCCTTGGAGATCAGATCTAACGGGTACATCATAATTTTATGCTCATTCGCATCCAGATGAAAATCATATTGAGTGGAATATGCTCGTATATTGCATGGTCTTATTTAACAAATAAATTTATAAAACTAAGCTTTTTAAATCGAGAAAATATAAAGGGTTGTAAAAGGGCCCTCTGGGGGAAAGGATCCGTTTTTAACACCGAAAATTCTTTTACCAAAGAATTTCCCGGAGGGATAAAGACCTGCCGGCAAAAGAAAAATTATCAGTATGGAGCAAGTATCCGAAAAATGCATTCCAAAGATGAATTCCTAAGATCCAGATTAGGGTCTAAAATTTAATGATGGTGTGTAAAATCAAATAGAGTGGAATATCCGTAAAAATTCGAAGTTTTTTTAAATAAAAAAAATTTTGGCAGAACTTTTCTTTTAAAAAATTTAGACCTTTTATTAGTTAAAAATTGAAGGTTCCTTTTTATGTTTGTTCTTTCACAAAATTTTTCCCCAGCCAGTTTTCTTAAGGAAAAGTGAGTCATGTCATGTTTGTTCTTCCAAATAAATGAGTCAGTCAGTTTGTTTTTCCTAAGTATCCATGCGTTTGTTCTTTCACAGAAGGGATTTGAGTTTGTTTTACTGAAGTGAGTCGTCGGTTTTCCATTAATGTCGTCAGTTTGTTTTAAAAAAGTGAAAGTCCTTCATGTTGTTCTTAATAAATGATTGCTTTTTTTTAATAAAGTAGTCTGTCATGTTTGTTCTTCCATGAAGTGGTATGTTGTTTGTTTTTCATGAAGTGTCCTTATTTTGTTTTACTAAAGTGAGCCCTGTCATGTTTTTCTTCACATAATAGTCATGTCATTTTTGTTCTTAAATTTAAGTGAGTCTGCATGTTTGTTTTACAGGAATGAGTCCTGTCATGTTTGTTTTCCATGAAGTACCCCTTCATGTTTGTTCTTACATAAAAAGTGATCATGTCTTTTGTTCTTCACATGAAGTGATCATGTCATGTTTTTTCTTCACAAAAAAAAGGGGAAAAACGGGTTTTTAAAAAAACTGCAGCAGAACTGAGGGGCTCTTGACCCAAAGGAAAAACCACTACACTTTCCTTTTCCCCCAATCCCCCCCAACTACCTACCACCTATTCCTACCCCTGTAGCCCCCTGCAGGTTAGCGCTTTACCAAAGAATATACTACTTTATATAATAATTTTTAAAAATAATTGAAATTTATCCAGGTAATAAATAAATAATTCAGTAATTAGACGCCAGGGTGCTGAATGAAAATTTCAAAACATTGAACAAAGGCATTAAAAGAATTTTTTGTGTAAAAAATCAGATTTTTCAGGTTTACTGTTAATTGTTTGCGTGTGGAGGGGTTTTATGTTGTGGTTTGGGGTGTGGGTGTGTATGGGTGGGTGGGGGTTTTTTGTGTGTGGTTGTGGTGGGTGGGGTGTTGTGTGTGTGGGGTTTTTTGGTTTTGTGGTGTGTGTGGTTGTGGTGTGTTTTTTGTTTGGGGGGTTTTGTGTGGTGTTTTGTTTTTTGGGGGGGGTTTTGGGGGGGGTGTTGGGGTTGGGGTTTTGGGTGTGGTGTGGGGGGGTGTGTGTGTTGTGTGGTTGTGTGTGTGTTGTGGTTTTTTTTGTTTGTGTTTTGTTTTTTGTTGTGTGTGTTGGGTGTGTTTTGTTTGTGTTGTGTGTTTTGGGGGGTGTTGTGTTGTTTTGGGATGTGTGGTTGGGTTTTGTTTGTGTGTGTTTTGGGGTTTTGGTGTTGTTTGTGTGTGTGTGTGTGTTGTGTGTTTTTTTGTTTTGTGGTTTTTTGGGGGTTTTTTTGGTGTGTGTTGTTGTGGTGTGTGTGTGTGTGTGTGTGTGTGTTTTTTGGTTGTGTGTGTTTGTGGGGTTTGGGGGTGTTTGGTTTTTTGGGGGGTGTGTGGTTGGGGTTTGGTGGTGTGTGTGGTGTGTGTGTGGTTTTTTTGTGGTGTGGGTTTTGGTTGGTTTTTTTGTGTGGTTTTTTGTTTGGGTTTTTTTTAAAATTTTTTTTTGGGGGGGGTTTTTTTTTTTTTTTTGGGGGGGGATTTTTTTTTTTTTTTAATTTTTTTTTTGGGTTGGTTTTGGGTTTGGGTCTTTTTTTTTTTAGTGGGGGGGGTTTTTTTTGGGGGGTTTTGGGGGTTTTTAGGGGTTTTTTTGGGTTTTTTGGGGGGGGTTTTTTTTTTTGGGGGGTTTTTCGGGGTTTTGTGTTTGGGGTGGGGTTTGAAGTGGGTGGTGGGGTGAAAATTTTAAAAGCCCCCCCTTTAAATTTAAATTTTTAAAAGAAAAATGAATACCAAAAAAATTAATAAAATGAATGAAAAAAAAATATATAAAAAAAAAAAGAAAAAAATTAATTTAAAAAAAATAAAAAAAAAATCATTTTTAAAAATTTTTAAAATTAAATTTTAAAAAATAAATTTTTTTTTAAAAAATCGTTTAGGGGGAATTAAAACCTTTAAATCCAAAATCTAAGGGGAAAAAAAAAAAAAAAAAAATTTTTTTTTTTAAATTTTTAAATTACAATTTTTTATACTTTGGGGGGGGGTTTAAATTAAAAAAAAATGGGAGGGGGGGGTTTTTTTTTTTTTTTAAAATATGGGGTACCCTCAGGGGGGTTAATTTTAAAAATTTAAACCCCTCCCCTTTTAAAATAAAATATATAAATAAAAAAACAAAATTAAATAAAAATTGTAAAATTTTTAAAATTATATTATTTTAATTTATTTTATTTTTTTTTATTATTTTTAAAATTTTTTTAATTTTTTATTTTTTTATTTTATTTTTTATTATTATTATTATTATTTTATTATTATAATATTTTTATATTTTAAAAAAAATTAATAAAATTTTATTTTAAAATTTTTAATAAATTATTTAAAAAAATTTTTAATAATAAAATATTTTAATTAATATTTTTTAAAATTTTTATTATTTTTTTTATTTAAAATTTTTTTTTTAAAAAAATTAAAGTCGTTTGTTTTTTAACCCCAAAAAAAAAAAATTTTTTTAAAAATTAATAAACAGAAAAAATATAAAAATTAAAAATTTTAAAAAAAAAAATATTTAAAAATAATTTATTTTAATTTAAATTTAAAAAATAATAAAAAAATAAAATAAAAAATAAATTTAAAAATAATAATTAATAATTATATTATTATTTAAATTTTTTTAAATTTTTAACCTAATTATTATTATTTTTACAGTATTATTATTAGTGTAGTAGTAATAGTAGTAGAGCTGGTAAAAATTTAAAAAATAATAATAATAATAATATTTAAATAATAAAATAATAATAAAATTAATAATAATTAATAATAATAATAATTAATAATAATTAATAATAATAATAATAATAATGATGATGGGAGACGACCGACTTGTTGAAAAAAAAATAATAATATTAATAATAATAATAATAATAATAAAAATTTAATAATAATAAAAATTTAATAATAAAGATCAAATATCAACGGTTTCACAGTAACAAGAATAAAAACAACAAACAAACAAAAAAAAAACACCCCAATGTAAATCACTAAAAATAACAACAGAATGAATAATAAAAATTTTAATTCTTTGAAAAAAAAAAAAATTGAAATATATATATTATATAATATATATATATATTTATATATTTATATATTTTTATATATATATATATATATATTATATATATTATATATATATTTTATATATATATATATTTTATATATATATATATTATTATATATATATATATATAATTTTTTCAAATGTATTGAATTGTAAATATTAAGTTGCAGTGATGCCACATCAGCGTTAACCTGATGGGAGGGGGTGAAGGGGAGGGAGGGGTGAGGAGGGGCGGGGAAAGGGGGAGGCAGGGGGGGGGAGAGGGGGGGAGGGGGGGGGTCGCAAGTATTGCCAGAAAAAAAAAAACTTGAATAAAATGGGAGTGTCCAGCTTTCTTTAATATAATTCCCTGTCTGTTATTATTAATTTTTTTTTCTTTCCTCTCTTCTTTGTTTTTCTTTATTTCCTTCTCTCTCTCTCTCTCTCTCTCTCTCTCTCTCTCTCTCTCTCTCTCTCTCTCCTCTCTCTCTCTCTCTCTTCTCTCCTCTCTCTTTTTTCTCTCTCTCTCTCTTTTTCCTCTTTTCCTTTCTTCTCTCTTCTCTCTCTCTCTCTTCTCTCTTCTCTCTCTCTCTCTTTCTCTCTCTCTCTCTTTTTTACTTCTCTCTCTTCTTTCTCTCTCTCTCTCTCTCTTTTCTCTTCTCTCCCCTCTCTCTCTCCTCTCTCTCTCTCTCTCTTCTCCTTTCTCTCTTCTCTCTTTCTTCTCTCTCTCTCTTTTTTCTCTCTTCCTTCCTCTCTCTCCTCTCTCTCTCCTCTCTTCTTCTTCTCTTCTCTCGTTTCAACCTTCTCTGGGGTAATTTTTG